CTGAAGTTTTATCATTGTGTGCAAATTATCAAAAACAGCGTCTTCTCCACTCTCCATATGTCTTCAATCTTTTTTAATTTACGCCGTTTAGTCTAACATTTGGTCTCAATCCCTTTTATGAAATCAGCTCGATTTTGTTGGTTGGTTGTGTTGTAATATTACTAATGTTATCAACAAGAAAGTATCATAAAACCAGTGACCAGCTTCGTGACCCTAGTATTGCCCTGTGATTCAAGTAAAGCCAGTGATTACAGTGAATGATATAACAGGACTTTTGAACGAAGTACTATAATTTTGTACAATTTTGGCAAAATCAACGTTAGCACACTTTTCCATTGATGATGCACAATTTATTCTGTTTGCAACTACAATTCCTGAGTTGCTAAGAGTAAGGTAGTTGCAGTGGACTGGTAGAGATCATCATGTACTTGATGTTCTGAGTCATCATTCTTGATTTTGCACCCGCACCCCGCACTAAATATTCGACATAGAAACACTAAATCTTCGACTGTAGACCTCTTTGATTCTTAGACCTCTCTATGTTTCTAGTTAGGACACTGTTAAAAATTGACCATGTTGGTCGATATGGTCATGGATTGAGATCGAAGGTTTTTGTAAACTTTGAAGTAAGTAGCTTCTATTCACGTTTCCTTGCTCTTTTCCATGATTCGATTTCCTTTTGTAAACTTTCAATTGTTGCCACTATGATTTTGAAATTTGTTGTTGATAATGGAACCTTAATGCTGTCAGACAGATTTTTTAAGATCAAATTACTCATTTATCTTGCTTGACCAACCGTTTAGAGGGTAACAATAGAGGCGCGAGCGAAAGCATTCTTCGCAAGAGCATCAAGTAAGATAAAAAAACAAAATTACTCAAAGGATGTAGACATCCTTAATATCTTGGAGTATGCAATAGATTCTGGGATTCCCTGCCTTAAAAGCCTTGATCAGTAATTGGGAATCGGATTCCAATGTAACACTAAAGAAACCTCGTTGGAAAGCTTCTTTCAATGCTGAGAAAAGAGCCACTCCTTCCGCGATCGATGGAGAGAGAGAGAGGATATTGCAACGGGTCTCAAAGTTTCGATGAAGCTTCGTTCCAGTAGAGTCTGGAAAAATCCAGCCAAATCCTGCAAAATGTGGGGATTCTTTGTGCCAAGCTGCATTAGTATTATAGGTTTTTCTAATATAAACATTCATTGATCCACAAAGAAAAAAGCTTGCTTCACCAATCCAAAAAACTCTTGATTCATTTTTTTTTGTAGCAGACTTATTATCTATAAGTTCATTGTTTTCTCTTAAACCACTAGAACAATATACACCTTAGCTTGTTCAAAAGCTCAAGTCATTTGTTTCACCAGATTCAAGCCAAAACACAAACTAACAGCATCCACATTGGTAATAAAATGTGGGTGTCTTTAAATATAAAATTATTAAAATTTGAGTAAAAGGAAGAAAGAGAGTGTTTTTATTGAAATAATGAGGTGTATTAAAATATAAAATTAATAAAATTTGAGTAAAGAGAGGAAATAGTGAGTATTTTTGGAGAGATTGTGTCTCATGGAAGACATAAGAGAGAGAAATTAGGAGTGTGTTTAAATATAAAATTAATAAAAATTGAGTAAAAAGATGAAAAAGAATGTATAAAATTAAGTAAAAAGATGAAAGAGAATGTATAAAGTTGAGTAAAAGGAAGAAAAAGTGTGTTTTTAATATTTTTTTATTTGTGAGACATCACATTTTATGACCAATGTGGATGGTCTAAGACTCGGGGATAGATTTTGTGGTAATAGAAAAAAAAA